CGATTTTCTTCATCATCATCATATAAATCACGATAAATTGGTTCATGCATGATTGATAAAAAGATGAATATAAATAGAAGGATTATTATTCGTTTAGCTAAATATTTACTTTTATTTTTATTAAGACTAATACCAATAAAAACCGAATATCCACGTTCAATCGCAACAAATGCATTTAACCAATTATCTAAATAAATGGATGATTTAAGAAAATATTCAATAGATTTACAACTAAGTTGAATATCGCTGTTGGAAGATACCTCAGGTTATCGGGCTTCTGTCTGTTTTTGCCGATCTGAAAGATACCCTTTTCTACTCTTTTATTCCATTGATGGTGCAAAGATGAAAGTTACTTCAATTGTTTATTCTCTTCGTTTTGTTTCATTTACTTTGCAGTAGATAAGAATGTTCGTTCTTCGTTTTGCTGTTGATATTTCAGCATGTCTTTTATCGCACGACGATAAAATTATCTTTATAAAGCAGCAGAGGTGCAGAATCTTCCTCATGCGCCCCCGCGCGGGGGGGGAAATTTTTTAAAAACTGTATTTTTTGGGGAAATTTTTGAAAATTTTGGGGAATTTTTGAAGATTTACCTTGGGGAAAATTTTTCAAAAATTTCCCCGGGGGGGGAAATATTTTTTTTTCGAGAAGATTCTGCACCTCTGTAAAGCAGAGTGAAGACACGAAGTAAAGCCATTTGACTACTGCTCAGTATCTTGAAGGACGAATTTATAGAATTTAACTCACGCATAAAAAGAAATTGTAAAATGGCTCAAGGCAATCCATCCACGGTTACGTTTCCACCATCATACAGTCTCGCTGATACTTCTGGAGACCAACAGCCATGGATGTTTCTATTCACCACCATTCATCCACTATTGTCGAGCAAATTACAGGGTGTAGGAATAGTCTATATCATTCTTGGGTTGGCATCGATCGGTGTTGAGGCTGCAGCTCTTTCACGAGGAGATAGAGTGTAATCAAATCTATGAAAATATTTTTTTCTTTTTCTAACAGCATTTATTTTTGCTTTCTAGGGATATTAGTTTCACTTTTTATGACATTAAAATTTTTGGAATTTACTTATTTGCTCTTGGTGTTACGCTGATCATCTTATGTCGCCATCAAGTTTACGCTCTAATCGGTATATTTATGTTACTTTTCTTTCAGTTGATGAATGTAATACACAAAGCAGTTGCATACAGCCTCATTGTTAAAAGCTGGAGTACCCAATGTACTGAATCGTTGAGCACATATTGTACCACTACCCAGAAAAGATTAGTGCTGGTTTCATTACTTTGTGCACTGCTAGGCACAGGTCTAACAATTGTTAGTATGCTGTTTATTAGACAAGCTTGCACTCCTCAACGAAGTCGATCACAGTTACAACCGATTCAAATGGCCTACGTAAATCCAGCTACAACATATGTCGCTCAATAATTATGATCGGCTAAACCAGAGACATCTTTTCATCATCATCAGACTAAATTACTTTTCCGATGTTTCTCGGACATACGCTCTTTTTTGCATTAATAAAAGAATTCATTTTAAGAAGAGAAAGCAGCGTTTCGTTTTGTTTATTTAAAAAAAATAATACTTAAGAGTGTGGGTATGAGTGTTATACTCATCTCTTCACCCACATTCTGTATCACACACCACACAAAAAAGTGAAAAAAATTTAGTAATTAAAAGTTTACAGCCCATACTGAATTTGAAGTCCTAAAACTGCGACCACATTTTGAGGTATATTGGGTAAAAGAATGTCCAGCGGTACCATCTGTGCCTTAAGTGCTACTTGAGCTGCATATTGCCGTTCTGCTTCAGAGGCGTATTTACGTACGACATATTTTGCATTTTTTTTCAAAAGATACACACGTAATCCCATATTTGTGACATAAGTTACTGACAAAATAATGTGTGTCTGATTACGTACGACGAAAGTCATTTCATCAAGTATAAAACCTTGTTCACATAAGACAATGTATCCATATCCTCGCGCGATTAGTTCTTTATAATGAGGCTTGCGGCACAAACAGAATGTCATAGCTCCAATGGCTCCGAAATATCCGAAACCTGCTCTGTTTGATCCATACAAATATTCTACATAACGTACCCATTGATCTCCTTCAAGTTTAATCAAAAGACGAACATTGCTTTGGAGCATAGCATAGTTATTTCTATTCGAATAATTGATTGCACCATAACATAAGGCCCAAAGTAACATAAACCCGGTCAATGAAGTGAATGTGATAGCTGTAATAAGTGTAAACCATAATGATTCCATCTCAGATACCGATGAACGATCCACAGTAACCCATATGATCCATGTTACGAACATAATAATAAAAAACGGAATGCAGGGTATGAAAAGAAACGCCCATCGTTGGCGATCTACTTTCATACATGCTTTTATTATATTATTGACAATCTGAGCTTGTGATAAAACTGGCGCACAACTTGGACCAAAACGATCATCAACATTGATTGCTACATCTTGTTGCTGCTGTGTTATAGATTCGTTGACTAATTGATCGTTATTTGGAAGTGTTACTTCATCAGTCGAAGTTGATGTTGGAGTTTCTTGTTGATGCATTTCAATATTCATTGAAATAATATTAAAACAAGCAACTGCTATATATATACGATGGTGTTATTATCAAAAACCAAAGGAATAAGAAAACAAACTCGTTTTCGGCGAATCCACTAAAAAGATAACATTAGAATGAAGAAAGATGTTATGTTATCAATCGTCTAACTGTAGTTCTGACAATTTTCTTACCAACTGACTCATGTTTTGACAAAGAAAGTCTAGTAATGATGCAAACTCTAAATAACTGTAAAATGACTTTTTATGTTGAGATTAAATAATACAAGAAAAGCATTTGACAGTACATTAGTTAATGACTTATTCTCTTAACAGATAGATAAGACATTATTTTTATTCATCCCTTTTTGCCAACAATAGCTGAGTCATGAATTGGACTTTTATGATTTTAATAAAGAGTAGATAACGTTTTACACCAGCACCTTTTTTTTTGAAAAAGTAAATGGAAGATAAGTAGAAGAGCAAAAAACAAAACAAAAAAAGAGGAAGTCCTTGAGACACTTTTTGTAAGTGGGTGGGTGCGGGTGCTAGGTGAATACGTTATTTGTACCCACACCCCTCAAATGTACATGTGATAAATGTGTATAATCAAGAAATGAAAATTGATCAACTTTCACTGATGGATATTGACATTGACATAATGCATGATTAAATCCTTTTGTTTCTACGGCTAATTTCTCAATATTGACACGATAAAATGAAATAGGATTTTCTTGTGGAATTGATTGTTGTAATCTTTTAACAGAGCCATATAAAAGAGAATTGTAATTTACATTGGACACTTCATCCGGCAAACGTTCAACAGTTAAATGATGTGTTTCAAAACCAAATATAAGATGATTGTAAATGTTAATCAAATTATGAACTGTGCGTATATCATAAGAACACATGGAACAATTACAATATCCATGCATTACATGATCTTTTGCTGATAATATTCAAAGCAGATTAGTATCAAACTTTTTCTCTGTTTGGTTTAACAAATATTTACGGTAATGATGAATGCAATCTTCATACTTTTTTTTAGCATTTCCATACGATCGTTGTGAGTCAGCAGTTTGTAAATCAAGATGAAAACATGATAAAAGATCTTGTCCAATAAATTGTGATTGATGTCGATTTATCATATATGTTCTATCAACACTAGAATTTAAATCTATTGTTGGTTGACGTTTATTGTCATTAATTTGATTTCGGGTAATCGTGGATAACAATATCGAATAGATAATGATCATTCATCACCATATGGTGCTTATTGAGCATCTTTATGAGGTGCAAAGTATTCACCTTCATTGTACTTATTCAATCTCATCACTATATTAACACTACTCATTTCCCAATTACCTTGAGCATTGAAGCCCAATGGTTTTGTATTTGGAACGACTTTAATTAATCTATTGTGAGAATTTAAACGTTGCTAAAGTATTTCAGCTAATTGATCATTCGTCACATTCATCTGAAGTAAGTAAAGCACCCACTTCAATTAATATAAGATCATCTTGATGTTTAATTATATTCAATCAGTCAATACCATCTTCAACTGTTGTTGATGTATCATAATTTGATAATAAAGAAGTAGTGATACCCAAATCTATACTACCCAGAAATTGTTGGTGCGACATAAATTTCTTTAGAAAACCTAATAATATTGCAGTATTATACGTCAACTTGTTAGGCGCCCATAGATCTTTTTTCTTCAGAATTAATCAATTTCTTGTGAAAAATATTGTTATTTAATTCTTGCACACCACTGACGTCATATGAACAACCACTGATACATTGTCGGTAGATGTCCGTAAATCATTTTTAAAGAACAAAAACCTAGTTTAATTTACGAACACCATGAATTATTAAAACAATATGTTGATACATTCTCTTTCAGTCATAAATATTTTTGAAATCCTATCGCTCTGCAGACAATATCGATTACATATTAAAGAAATAGAATAAAACACATGTATTTGTCAATTACTAAATTATAATCTTGGAAGAATGAGGTTGGGTGTGGGTGTGGATGTGTTGCAGGTATATTTAAAAGAGGTACAACTACATCCACACTCTCAAAATATCAGAATGCTTTACCGTGTTGTTTATATTAGTGATATTGCACCTAGCGATCGCGGAAGGGCAACAAAGAGGCACCAAGGAAGAGGTGCCTTACAAACATCAACTTCTATTTCGTGTTGGTCCTTGGTATTTTCATCGATTATAATTATCCGATGCTCATCACAATTCAATGTGATTGTCCATATATGACCGATTATATCACCGTCATTCCACCGCGATGCCCTAACAAGGCCATCAATGTAATGACCAAATTTTTCCCAACCGTACGTAGAGTCTGTAAGAGTATAGGAACCAGCCATATTCTCCCTTGGTACGAGTGGAATACTTCGTGATCGAATTCCGAAAAAAGGATGCCCGTCTTTGATTCTTGCACGAATACGATGAATACCACTCGAATATGAGTGAATCCCAAGAGCACCTGCATGTAGCCTAGGTTTGACATTTCTGATCGACCGTTTATTGCTCGCTAAATGCACTGCCATTTCATCAGGTGTATAAATTTGTACCAATTTCTCGTCTTCTACTGTCTTCACAATGTCTGATTCCTTCGACGGTGAAGCAGAGAAAGCCATATATTTTCGTGTTCTTTTGCTCGGTAAAATATTCTGAAATAATAAGATATTTTTTTTTTGTTCTTGTGTTCTGTTATATACTTTTAACAACTCATGATTTTTCTTCCTTATCTACATATCTCCGCATAAAATAGACAGCACGGCGAAAAATAAAAACACACGAATATTACTCATTTCAAGCAAATAAAGAACGAAAGACGGTTGTTGATGTGTTATAAAATATATTATTGCTACGCTTTAGTCGTCAAATAAACGTTTGCAAGAGAATTCAATATTTTTCTTTTCTCTGTACTTCTACTGAATAAAATGAATCGCAAACGACGAAGTAGTTTCATGTCGCTCTTTTACATTCTTATATATTTTTAACCATCTTAAGGGTGTGGGTATGACAGATTTGATACACCTACACAATCACCCAGATCCGAAAGCACACCCATATTCACGCTCGTGATAGATACTGAGAAGAGTCTTTTATAAATAACGAAAAATCCTACTTCTCATTTTTCCAATAAGATTCGTTTTTTTTCTCATGGGAGATATTTCACGTCTGGCCTAATCATTTCATATTTCATCGCTGTCACAGGCGTATATATACTCCGATATTCTTTCTATTCATCACAATAGTCATTTATTTCTAGTAGATCAGCATATTTAAGTAAACCATTTCCAATGAGACAAACGCAGTTTATATTATACAGGTTCAATCATTCAAAACTATTAAGCACATCTTGTATCAATATTTTAAAGAATACAAGGCTGGAATGAATCAATCAATGAGTTGTTATCATTTTACGTGCCTTTCAAACAGGTAAATGTCAAAGCAATGAAGCGACCGTTTGCTGCTGACGTAACAATCTTGAAAATGGATGTGTTGCACGTATGTTTGAAGTAGACACACCCACACTTACAGTCATCTACACCCACAGTCAACTACACCCACACCCGCAAGATTGTTGGTGAATGACGTTTGGTACCACCCTTTCTGAACATCCTGTTTTCCGACATGAAGTCAGTTCCGAACACTCTAACTATTCGGTGTTTAGAATGAAAAGGTGGTACGAAATGTCATTTTCCCGATATTGCGCATATGACTAATGACTACTGCGTTTTCTACTACCGTAAGTAATTGTTTTGGTACAAAAACAGTTTCTCATCTTGGATGATATTATATTCAGTGTATGTGTCTGCAGCTACTTCGTTTGATCAAGCATTGCTATAAGAGACTCCATTTGCAGTTTAAGCTCCGATAGACGAATTGAATTTTCTAATTCTGGCAACAATCGATGTGTTGGCGGATGATGCTCCAGTAAAAGATCACGAGCTTGACGATAGTTCCATAATGCTAGATTGTTGTTCTTGAGTTCGATGAATGCCGAGCCGATCATAGAGTATGCAGTCACAATTACAATTGAGTTTGGGGGTAGTTTTCGGTCTTCAATCACCGCGCGATAATATGCAATTGCCATAGGTAAGTCACCGCGTCTTTGATAATATCTAGCCAGTTCTTGAAGTGTACTTGCTTGAGGTTCTGTCGACGTCAGTACAGTTTCTAGGATTTCTCGTGAGCGTTCTTCGTTACCGAGGGCGGCGGCACTTTCGGCCATCTGGATCAGAGTCGATTTCTCGATCAAGTTGTCGTGGCTCAGGAGGGAGCTAGTAGAAGAAGTGAGATATGCTTCGAAAACACTCAACGCTTGCTCATGTCTACCTTGCTGACTTTCAAGTGCGCCTTTTATCAGCTGAAGTCTTGTAAACACTGGATGTGAGCGAGGTATTGGTAGTGAAGGTGAGATTTCCTCGAACCAAGACATTAATGATGTAGCTATTTCAGGTACTCTTTCAAGTTCTTTCATATCGTTTTCTGAACTTATTGTCGATGTAAAAGTTGTGATATGCTCTTGCAGCGAAGAGAGCACACACCGTAGGTCATTGGATGCATGTGGAACACGTTTGAGATCTTGCAGTGACTGTGAAGTTTCTGTCATGACATTCATAAAATAAGGAATAAGATCAGCTAACTTGTTTGAATGTTGTTTTGCATCTGTGAGACGAAACATAGCATGATAAATCTCTCTCGAACTCTCCTGGGCATCTGGTTTAAGAAGTTTTATTATTTGTCTTGCTTTCTCCTCATCACCAGTCTGACTGCAGAAATCGGCAAGTCTATCAATATAATACGATTCATTTAGACCATGAGGAAACTGCTTTAAGATGAATGCCTTTAGTTCCTTCACATCAGCATCCTCCTCGTAGCACAGCCGAGTTTTGATATAAATATTCTTCTTCTCTGGGATGCACGATATTGACTGAACTTGCAAGGTAATTCCCATTGATAATAACACTTCCTCTTCGTCAGGAAATTTGCTAAATGGGCGGATGTCTGCAAAGGGTGAAGAACTTGAATCGAGCAAAGTTCTATCGATAAGGATTTCGAGCATAACATCCTTTTCGAGATCATTGCCGAGATACATCGATGCGACTGCTAGGCTACGAGATGTTGACACAAAAGAGTTCATTGACAGAGTTGTGCCATTATGACAGGAGCGCAAACGGTTCACTTCATTCGGTGAAACTTGCATAGCACGATATAATCGGATCATTGATGGTAACTCTACAATACACATTTTAAAAACATATGGATAGGTGTACATCCTATATTCTGACTCAAACTATGCTACTCATCATTGTAAATATCAGTTGCTTTCATGCTCTATGTTTCTGGACAAGTGATGGCATTGTAATATTTCACAATTTTTTAAGGCTCATCCTATAGAATCGAAAGTATTTTTCATAGAGTCCAGAGTTTCTGTAATAATATGTTGATCTTATCAAGATGCAAAATGAATATGCTTGTTGAGTGATGAAAGAACGTATATGCATCTATATACTGATATTATGTAAACGCGCGGAAGCTTGGCTTAGTTTCTATTTTTATGAGCTATTTTTTTGGAACGAAATTACTGTTTAGGAAGACGCATCAGATTCAATCAAAGTGTTTATATTGGCCGACCACTTACCCATTTTTGCTTGTGTGCTCAAGTTTTGCTCGTGATGTAACTTTTTCAACTGTTCGTAGACATCGCTAATGAAAAATCGAAACTTGTAGATAATCCCAAAATTCTGGATTCTTAAGGCTTTGTTCATCAATCGATAGGTAAACGAGTTGCATGAATACCAGCGGATAGCGTCACCAGCTCGATAATTTTGTTGGAAATTATCAATCTGGGCAATCTGAGCTGGATTGTTTCGGTAAAAGCGACGTGCTTCGTCAAGCATTTCTCGGTGCGCATCAGCAGTCGGACGCGGCATACGAAGTAGGCCTTGCAAAAGTGTTTGCGACCACATGGAACGAGCAACACTTCCCTTTTGATTTTCCATGATGGGCGTCTCCAAACTGTCGAATACATCCAGATGAGTTGACTGATTTAGTTGACAGGCACGTGCATCAGTTAAAACTTGTTGGAGTAATCCCGCCACGTCGGTGTATATTCCACGGACCTTGTGTACACATTTTTGTTCAGATGGCTCGCTAAGATATATGTAGTTAACTTGTTCGCAGTCATGTAAAACATCAATGAGGTGATTCCAACCGCGCCCAAGCCATACAAAGATAACTATGTGTGCTGCAGACAACGATATTAAATGTTGCATAAATTCATCAGCGTCGTCGAATTCATAGACACGTATTCCAATAGAAGATGGTTCCAGTATATTCATTGCTTCTCTATGGCCAGATTGCAGCCATATAAGAATAACATCTTCGTCAATGTCTGTATCGTTACTCATCTTAACAGCAAAAGCAAAATCTTAATAACAATATACTTCATATAATGCGATTTATCAAAAGCAATCTTTACTCTTTAAAACTTTCTTTTAGCATATCTCGAGCAAATAATATTCAAGAGGCTTACTCCGTTTATTAATTCCACGATCAGATTGATTAACGACAGAAACCTGCAGGCCGTGTGCGCTCAATATACTTTATGAAAACAAAAATGGTTTGCCGTGATACTGTAAAGTGTTTTGAGTTCCTAATCAATCTAACTTCTCAAAGAAACTCTTGCTGGTCGTACACTTAACACAACGCATACCACTTGTTAAGCATGTAACTTAAAGATATCTACCATTATGGCTGTTCTCTTGCTATCTCGTGTTTCTTCTGACGGTATAAAAGAGAATGACACTTAAGCAAGCAAATAAATGTATTATGCAAAATATCGTAAATCTCTACAGCTCGGAAGTGGATGGTTGGAAAAAAACTTTTGATGTGGACAATACGTTTAATATGTCTGTTGATATCAGATTGTTGTTCTCTGTTCGGTTAAGTTGGATGTGGGCGTGAGTAAGTGTGAGTGTGAGTGAGTAGAAGTGTAGGTGTGAGCGTGAATGGGTGTGGGTGGCTATGCGCTCTAGGTGAATACCGTATCAATACCTACACCAACACCCACACCTACCCAGACCCATTTTCCGTGCTTTGTATCAGGCGATATTCATCACCAATTTTATGATTTGTTGACTTCTTTTTAAATGATTCGTAAAAGAATTTTGCGGCATATTCAAGAAAGTGTTTCTTATCTATAAAGCGAATACAAATTTAAATTCAAGAAGCAAGTCAATAAAATAAAACAGGTATTTTTATTATTTCTACTTATCTGATATCAGTTATTTAAGCATTTAAAAGTATTATGAGTCTTCATCTCTTCAGAAAAATTCCATATATTAATACGTCCCTTCTGAAGAGGTTTGATATTGTGAAATCTTTATCATTAAAAAGTCTTTCAAGTTTTTAAGCGTTTATAATTTAACAAAGAAACGATTCGTATAGTTGCTGAAATGATATTTATTCGTTGTTTTCTCTTCAGTTCTATGTTTTTCATCTTTGTACTATTTCTGTTAAGTGCAGTGAATGATCTAGAATCTTGGAAGGGAGAGTTTTAGGTGAAACTCATTTGTTTGTGGGTGTGGGTGTGTGGTGTGTGAATTTTTTTCTTCGTTATTACACACCCATAACCTGAAGACTAAAGTAAGAGTAGAACAGAGATTTATCATTGACCTATTTATTATTTACATTTTTATTTCAAGATGTTTTTAAAAAATAACAATTTTGAAATAAACTTGTTCGATTAACAATATAATCATGAACTTTATATTTAAATAATCGAAAATCATCATTATATAAACGAATAAGTTGACAAATTAAATCATCTGATAAAGTTGTATAATATTTTTGATAATCCCATTTCTGAAGACCAGATGGTCCATTTCTTTTTTCAATATTCCAATTTGTTATATTAAAATGCTTAAGAAATTGTGGAAAATCTTCATTGAACGATTCATATTTTCCAACAAAATTATATTGAAATTTACAAACTTGACAAATTGTTGAATATGGTTGCCAATGATAATTCA